TATATATCAACAAATGTGTGTGATCATCATTTATCTTCCTTCCTCTGTCTTCTTTTTTGTCCATGTTGTTTTTGTAGCTCTTTTTTTTTGCCACCATGGCCAGCTCACAGGAAGCAGGGCGGGATGCGAGGAAGGGAGGTGGGATGTGTTACCATGGCAACAAGCTGACTCACTGGCAGGGCTGTACCATTTTCCACTGAGCCACAGGGGGTCAGCAGCAGATACAGCCTTTGAGCTGTGATGGCATCATGCATTTGTTGATCGTTTGAGGACAGGAGACACCCCTGTTTGGGCAAATAGGTGCAGCATCCTCAGACTTCGGGTGACAGATGATAAAGAAAGGGGAGGGGGAGAGGATGATCATGGCTGCTCTTGATATTTGCCTCCCTGTTTGTTTTGCCTTCCCCAGTTTCAAAAAACCCATGTCCACGATTAGTATATTATCTAACATATGGGCTTAAAATACCCAATTTCTTGTTGAATTCTTTGATTCTGTTGAATGAAAAGAACAACATCCTTTTGGTGTCTTTTTTTCTTCTTTCATGTCGACCTGTTTGTTTTGGATGGGGGTGTTTTTTGGACCAACATTGCGTTATTACTTAAAATACTTTCCTGTGCACAAACGAAAGGTATATTACAGTCATTTACATATATTACAATCATTTAAACTACAGTACACCAGTCATAGTAAAAAAAACAGTAGCCGCTTTGCTTTGTCTAAGAAGCTTATATTGGCTATCACAAAGACACATCAGCTGTGACAAACACAGGGTCACAGAGCAAAGCATCTCTTTAATAAGGCATGGATTTATCTCAGGCCATCGCCTCGAGGCCCCCTGCTGTTGCTTTTAGGGTAGTGGCTTTGTGCAGCAGTGCAGTATTTTGGTTGTGATTCATACGTTGTTGGTATAACCAGGGTATCCAATCCCCTCAGCATGATTGTTTTATTGTTTTGGTTTAAACAGAAGTGGTTGTACTGTACCAAAGTATGTTAATGCTTCTGTTTGAAGGGCAAGTTGATGGTTGTACCCACTTTCTATTGTGTAGCATAATCTAACATACCATAAGTGAATGCTGTTGAAAATGATTCACAAAACAATGACTGATTTTTGGTAAGGCAACCACACTAAACTGTAACTCTGGACTGTGTGGGGTCATTCTCTATCCACTGATAATGATCATCATCACATATACAAGGACAGCAATACAAAAACAATGTTTCTTTGAAGATACATCCTGTCTCTCTGTCTGTCTGTCTCTCTCTCTCTCTCTCTCTCTCTCTCTCTCTCTCTCTCTCTCTCT